TGCCTGAGTCACGTGGGTACGCCGAGCAGGATGGCAGCATTGTAGAGGAGCACCCGCCACCCACCAATATTTTGATGTTTATAGTGAGGTAAATCACGTTTCTTGGACTGATTACTAACTGATATTGTTCTGTGAACGTTTCACTACGTTTTGACCGAGTAATGACCACTTCGAAGATTTCTAAGGACACAGGGACGACGCGTATGTCCACGAGAAACATGCTAACGCTAGCTGCTAATGAAGAGCCCGAGGAGGAGAGCTTTCGGGGAAAAGTAACCCTTGAAACAGTTTTTGCTGAAATCACGAAAATGAGCGCAAAACTGACAGAAGTGGGTTCGGATGTTGTGTCTATCAAAGAGGTTGTCAGTGGTTTACAAGCACGAATGGGAGAAGCGGAGCTACGAATCTCTCAGATGGAAGACAAAATGGGGGGCCTTGAAACCGACAGCAACATTGCGGGGAAGAAGGTGAGCGCGCTGTGGGATCGTGTACAGGCGCTTGAAAACCACAGCAAAAGAAACAATGTACGTTTAGTTGGCCTCAAAGAAACCTACGGGACTGATGGTACGCTTGAGATGTGTGTTAAAAAAGTTCTGAGCGAAGGACTGGGCATTGTCCCCGAAGCGGAATTTGAGATTGAGCGACTGCACAGAGTCTCAGCTCCGGTGCCGAACGAGGGGCAGCCTCCCCATGCTGTTCTGATCCGCTTTTTGAGGCAGTCCGCCCGGGAGAAGGTGCTGAGAGCGGCTGCGGTGAAGCGAGGGGTTACATGGGAAGGGAATAGGCTTTCGATATTCCCTGACGTAACGAAGGAACTGGCTGAGAAGAGGAAAACGTTTCTGGCAGCGAAGAAGGCACTGCAGCAACACAATGTGAGATACACTCTGGCCTTTCCTGCGACGTTGAGATTCACATGGAGGGGGAAAAACCAACGCTTCACACAAGCTGAGGAGGCTGAACGCTTAATCAACCGTCACAGCAACAACTAATACAAGAGGTACGGGACAATATCAGCGATACTGTTGTACAAGTGGACAGTGAGTAAATCTTTTTCGGGTGAGTGGGGGCTGACACGGGCTGTCGCCTAGCAACGAACACTCGGTTGGAAAGGGGTCTCCCACGGACCATAACAAGTTAACACTTTTCTTTTTTATTTTATTTTTATTTGCTATGGTATTTTATCAGGCCAGGTGGCCAGGACTCCCTGTTTTAGCTTCAGGGGGACAATTTAAGTTTGTATTTTCACTGTTCTGTTCTTTTGGCATTCACATGCTTACAAATACTTGGTTTTTATATATGGTCCGATACACGAGAGAGAAATATTACATGGTCTGGGGGCTATTTCATTTTTGTCTTATATTCTGTCTGATTCCAAATGGCTCAGAATTATGTTAAGTTTTTAAGTTGGAATATTAACCCTCTGTGCCCATGGGTCATTTTGGGGAACTTTCCTCGCCTGGTTTTCTTTGTGTATAATGGTTCATAAAACAGTCATCTTTTGATGCAGAGTCAAGCAGTATACTTTGTTTTTTTCAGTACAACCTGGGGTTTTAGAATATTCATATTGTAAAGCTGTCATATGAATTATATAAAAATGATGGAATCATAAAGACAAAGAAAAAAATCAAACGGAAAATCAATTTAACCAAAATGTATTGAAAAAAACACCATGAAATGCTATAAAACAACTTTTTACACTGCATAGAAATGTTATTTATGGTCTTGGGGATAATGGGGGAAAAAATTGAATCTCTAACTATTATACTTTTTACAAAATTCCACTATAAAAGGAAAAAACTCTGTACTCCTGATGCCCTTCTTGAAGCAGTTTGTCTATAATGCTGGGGTTGCTTCTGTAGTACAGCTGTAAAAAACGTAAAACATAACAAACTGAGCCAAAAAAAAAAAAAAAAACATCAATTATTTATTTAATACATATATTTATATACATCATATACACATAATGTCATTTTACTGTATTTATTATCGTCTTTATCAATAATGCGCACTCTTCAGCCGGTTTTTGCAATCGCAGCTGTAGTTTCAACTGTGGGAGAACAAGGAAACGCAGAGGAGTGAGAGATCTCACTCTCTGACGATCTTTGGCAGTCCCCGTGTGTTTGTATCTCACAGCTGTTTGTACCTCACGGGTCATGCTTTGGACACGGACTTTCAGACAAACGTAGTTTATCCTCCGTGCATCGCACAGACAAATCAAAACTAGTTTCGGAAAGCCCTGAATACATACTTCACAGAGGGAAAAAAAGTAAGTTGCTACGTTTTACCGTTCGCGAGTAAATTGATCATTTGTAAAACATGTGCGCGTGCATCGGTGCCGATGCACGCGGGCATATAGGGTTAAAGGTTGTGGAACTCCTGCAAAAAGAGGTAAAATAATGGCCTACCTTAAACACAAAAAGGCAGATATTGTGTTCATTCAAGAGTCACATTTTAGGGGAGAGGAAGCCTTGAAATTAAAGTTTGGATGGGTGGCACATGTTTTTCATAGTTCTTTCTCAAGTAAACGTAATGGGGTGGTTATACTTGTGCATAAAAACATATCATTTACTCTAGTTAAACAAGCAAAAGATAATGAGGGCAGGATGATCTGTCTACAAGCTAAAATTAATGGTAAACATATTATTTTGTGTAACATTTACGCACCGACTAAAGGTGATCCGAACTTTTTCCATGTGGTAAACAAAACAGTGGGTGAAATGGAAGGTGATATTATTTTAGCAGGAGATTTTAATCAAGTCTGGGATGCATTTATAGATCGAAGCAACATTACTGGACTATCAATCCCCAAAGATAGAGCAGCTATTCATATGCTAAGTGAAGACAATAATTTGGTAGATATCTGGCGATTAACAAATCCCTCAGAAAGAGAATATACTTTCTTCTCTCATTGTCACAAATCTTACTCGAGAATTTATATGTTCTTGATATCAAAGGATATAACCAAACAAGTATTGGATTGTAAAATTAATGCAATTGCTCTGTCTGACCACGCCCCTGTAGATTTAGGAATATATATAAACAATGATTCAGAAAAGCGAGGTAGATGGAGACTAAATGCATCCCTGATGTTTAATGAGACATTTTGCTCATCTTTGGAGGAAGATTTAAAATCCTTTTTTGAAATTAATATGGGTAGTACCTCTAAAAGGCCAATTGAATGGGAAGCCTCAAAAGCATTTATCAGGGGTAAAATTATAGTATACACCTCTAAGAAAAATAAGGATGATCTAGGAAGGAGAAAGGAACTAGAGAGTATGATTATAGCACAAGAAAGATTTTCAAATAAAAAATATCAAGAGATTTGCAAACTCAAATTTGAACTTCAGGAAATATATAATAATAAAGTGCAATATGCCTTATTTAGATTAGGGACGTCCTTTTATGAAGAGGGGGAAAAATCAGGGAGATTGTTGGCTAAACAATTGAAAAAGAGGGATTCTGGAAACGTGATTCCTGCTATTAAAAAGGGTGATACAATTGTCACAGACTCTAAAGAAATTAATCAGGTGTTATTAAATTATTATCAAGCATTATATACTCCTGATTCTACTCCTAATAACAAAGAACAGATCAATTTCTTCGCTCATGTAGATCTACCAAAATTATCACCTGAGCAAGCTGAACTCTTAGATGGTCCAGTGACAGACCTTGAAATTCGTAAATCAATAGCAGGCATGAAGAATGGAAAGTCACCAGGCCTAGATGGATTTTCTATAGAATACTATAAAAAAATCATAGACGTCATAGCCCCAGTATTAAGAGAAGTTTTTAATGAGGCTTTTGCACAACGTCTGCCCCCAACTTTTGATGAGGCTTTGATTACAGTAATACCAAAAAAAGATAGAGACCCGTTACACCCTTCTAATTACAGACCTATTAGCCTACTAAATGTAGACTTTAAGATCCTGACCAAAATATTAGCAACTCGATTGGAAAAGGTTTTAGCAAATATTATACATACAGACCAAGTAGGGTTTATGAAAAATAGATCCTCAACAGATAACATGAGACGACTATTGCATTTAATGAGTCTCAACTGTGAAAAGAATAGTCCTATAGTTGCCCTCTCCCTTGACGCAGAGAAGACCTTTGATCGTGTCCAGTGGGACTTTTTATTTGCTGCTCTGCAAAACTTTGGCTTTTCAACATCCTTCATCACATGGATCAAGATGATATATAAAAGTCCAAAGGCTTCTGTCATCACTAATGGCATTATATCACCTTCCTTTACCTTAAAGAGAGCTACAAGGCAAGGATGCCCACTTTCCCCTTTGTTGTTCAACATTTCACTGGAGCCACTGGCAGTCGCCGTAAGAGGGAATTTGGATATAAAGGGAATAGAAGGAGGTGGTAAACAACATAAGCTGCTGCTCTATGCAGATGATATTTTGGTTCTATTGAAAGACCCAGATCACTCGATCCCTCATCTAATGGATACAATTAAATCTTACTCTAGAGTTTCAGGATATAAAATCAATTGGGCCAAATCGGAGGCAATGCCTATATCTGGCATTTACAGCGGAAACATAACAGGGAAATTTGGGTTTAAATGGACTCCGGATGGAATGAAATATTTGGGTATTAAATTGAGTAGAGAGTTGGAAAAAATGCCAAGGCTAAATTTGGAGCCAGTACTACAAAAAATTAAAGTTAATCTTGATAAGTGGGGGAAACTTAAGTTGACACTGTGGGGGAAAGTAAATGTAATCAAAATGGTTGTTTCACCACAGTTCAATTACCCTCTGATGATGCTACCAATCAATGGTTCTCAAAACATCGTCGGGTAGCAGAGAGGACGCTGGCGTTGACTGCTCGCCGCTTCTCTGCAAATCCGGGAAAATCCTGCTAAAACTACTGTCGTTTTTCAGCTAAATACGACAGTAGACTCTTAACACTCAATTCTACCGGAGTGTTGATTATTTCTAAACCTGGTTTCCCAACACTAACCTGGACTTGTCCGGCATAGTCCAAAGCGGCCGATGCCATCACGCTACGGACTCATCGGGAGCCCGAAATCCAAACCCGGGTCTCCCACAGTGGGTCAGTCTCTGGAGGACCTCCGCTGCATGTTCTCCTGGAGCCCCTCATCACCACGGTGGAGGCTGTGGATCGTTTTCCTCACCTGTCTGTCGATTGTCGGGTGCAGCTCACCGGGTATGTGGCTAACGCTAACAACAACTAGCAGCGGTACCTCCACCATCGTGCCGGCCGGCTCATCGACTCGGACGTGGCGCCTCCATAGCAGCAGTCCATCTCCACGATCACCACCACTGAACCTTCCACGCAGACAACGTTACATCCACAGAGGATTGGGCCGCCGGTTCACAGTCCTGAAACACGGCGGCGAAAACTCCATAGCATCCCTGTGGTCTGCACAACATGGCGCACTTCGACGACGTCACACTCTCACACGTCATCAGAGCACTGCCACACACAGAGCTCATAAAAGGAGCGAGAGAAATCCCGGAGTGGACTACAGTGTTCTGCGCCCCCTAAGCGGACTGGATTCAAAAAGAACCATGACAATTGAACAACTTAATGTTCGGTCTCTGTCAAATAAAGCTGGACTTATCCATGACCACATTTCGGAGAGGGATATAGACATTATGTGCCTCAGTGAGACATGGCAACAGCCAGGGGTCTTCTCTGCCCTCAACGAGGCCTGCCCCCCAGGGTATTCGTACCTACATAAGGCCCGCACTACTGGCTGGCCCGCACTACTGGCTGGCCTACCGGTGGGGGCCTAGCTGTTTTATATCGCAGCACCCTTCATCTATCCCCTCTTCCAACCCCATCAACATCTTCATTCAAAAGCTTGGTCTTTAACTGTAAACATCCACTTACTGCTACAATAGCCCTGATCTACCGCCCCCCCAAACCACAGCCATCTTTCATTTCAGACATCCATGACTTTCTCAGCTCACTCTGCTCATCCTACAAAAGCATCCTAATCACTGGTGACATCAATATACACATGGACTTGCTGACCTGTCGACTCACCACTGAATTTAATCAGGTTTTGGACTGTCTAAATCTAAAACAACTCATCAACTTTCCCACCCACAATAAAGGTCACACACTGGACTTGGTTATCACAGACTCCATCCCAATCACTGACCTGCAGGTGTATGACATTGGTGTCTCTGACCATCTAGTCACTTCCTTCACAGTTCCCACATCCTCCCATCTCGACAAACAAAAACGACATATCACTTTTCGGAACATTAAAAACATTAACCCTGTCTCCTTCGAACACGACCTTCAACTTCTTTCAGCTCCCCCGGAATCTTCAGCAGCAGACCTAATGGACCACTACAACAACAGCCTCAGCTCCATTCTGGACATTCATGCCCCACTGAAGACCCGGACTGTCAACTTCACCCGCTCAGCTCCCTGGTACACCAACCAGCACAGGGCCATGAAAAGGTCAGGCCGTGTCCTGGAGCGGGCCTATACTACATCTGGGCTGACGGTGCATAAGTTGGCCTACTGGGAACATCAGAAATCCTACGCAAAAGCACTCTCATCAGCAAGGTCAGGTCATTTCTCCACAATCATTAACAATAACCCAGGTAATTCCAAAAAACTTTTCTCCACCATACAACATCTTCTCAAACCTCAGTTGCGTTCCCATCACACCCCAACAGTAACGAATTGCAATAACCTCCTTGATTTTTTCACTTCCAAAATTGACAACATCCGTTCCACCCTCACAGCTACACAAGATTCTTCCCTAGGCATTTCAAAATCCCCCTCATCACATAGTCTCTCTCATTTCACACCCATGACGCAGCAGGAGGTCGAGAAGATCATTCATACCTCTAAACCATCCACCTGCTCCTTGGACCCACTCCCTACCCCTCTGCTCAAAACCTACTCCAAATTCATCAGTCCCACAATAACCAAAATTATCAATCTCTCCCTTGGTACTGGCACCATTCCACCCTCCCTCAAAACAGCTCTCATAAAACCATTACTTAAAAAACCCACTCTTGACCCTGTGCCCCTCTCCCATTACCGTCCTGTCTCAAACCTTCCATTCATTTCCAAAATCCTCGAAAGAGCCGTCTCCACTCAACTCCATAATCATCTCAAATCAAATAGTCTCTATGAAAAATTCCAATCTGGTTTCCGCCCCTCCCACAGCACAGAAACAGCGCTCATCAGAGTGACCAATGACCTTCTCATGGACTCTGTCTCCGGTTCCACTTCCATCCTCATTCTTCTCGACCTCACTGCTGCGTTCGACACCATTGACCATAACATCCTTTTACATCGTCTCCAGCACCACATTGGCCTCTCCCACACTGCCCTCCACTGGTTTCACTCCTACCTCACTGACCGAACCGAGCATGTGGTTCTGGGGGACGCTAAATCTCACCCCCACTCTGTCACCTGTGGGGTCCCCCAGGGCTCCGTGCTCGGTCCCACCCTCTTCACCATGTACATGCTTCCCCTCGGGTGTGTCGTCAGCAGGCATGGAATTCACTTCCATTGCTATGCTGACGACACACAACTTTATCTCAAAGTCACTCCATCCACCCCTCCCTCTGCATCTCTCTCCTGTCTTACCTCCTGCCTGGAGGAGATAGGGGCATGGATGAGGCAAAACTTCCTGCAGCTGAATGGCTCAAAAACAGAAGCCATTCAAACTGGTACTCCCCATCAACTTCACTCTTCTCCCATCACCTCAATCTCTCTCTTTGGCCACAGCATTCCCCTCTCTCCCTCTGTAACCAATCTCGGGGTCAAGTTTGACCCCCACCTTTCCTTCGCAAATCACATACATCACATCTGCAAAACTTCCTTCTTCCACCTCCGTAATATTTCAAAACTCCGCTCTTCTTTCTCTCTCCCGGCTGCAGAGAAGCTCGTCCATGCCTTTGTCTCCTCCAGGTTGGACTACTGCAAAGCACTCCTCATCGGGATCCCTGGCAGGAGCCTTCAAAAGCTCCAGTACGTACAAAACAGCGCGGCCAGGGTCCTGATGAGGGTGCGGAAGCATGAGCACATCACCCCCATCCTTCATACCCTCCACTGGCTCCCCGTTCACCTCCGTATAGAATACAAGATCCTCCTGCACACCCACCACTGTCTCCACGGTGATGCCCCCACCTACCTCACTGACCTCCTCACTCCACACTCCTCAGGCAGAACCCGGTCAGGCCAACAGCACCGTCTGCTCCCGCCCAGGACACGGCTCAAGAAAATGGGGGACCGGGCCTTCGAGGCCGCTGCTCCCCGTCTGTGGAACGCCCTCCCGGACCACCTCAGGGCCCCACAGACGGTGGAAGCTTTTAAAAAGGGACTCAAAACCCATCTTTTTACTAAAGCGTACTGCTAATTTTTTATAGTCTTTTATCTGATTTTATGTGTTTGCTTTTATTTATGCTCCTGTTTGTAGCACTTTGAGATTTGATGTCAAATATAAAGTGCATTATAAATAAAATTTATTATTATTATTATTATTAATGTACCAACATCCATATTTAAACAATATGAAGTGATGGTTAAACATTTTCTTTGGGAAGGGAAAAGGCCAAGGATAAAGTTATCAAAACTATATTTACCCAAGGAAAAAGGAGGTCTCAGTTTACCAGACCCCAGACTGTATTACATCTCATTTGAAATGGCAAAAATTGCCATACATTGGACTGGACATGACCAATTTGACTGGGAAATTATTGAGAAATCATTATCTCATCCCTTCACACCTATCGAGTCTCTTTCTCAAATTATAAATAAAAAAGCCAACCCTATTACATTACATTCAAGGGAAATCTGGATGATGGTACATAAGTTATTAAAGTTGCCATATTGTAAACAATCGTATTCTTCCCTGTGGCAAAATCCTGCTATCTGTATTGGAAAGGCACCAGTCTACTGGAAAAGTTGGTATGATAATAAAATATGCACATTGAGTAATCTTTATAAGGATGGAGGGTTTATGTCATTTAATGACATGATGAATGAATATGCCCTGACTGGGAATGGACATTTTTGGAAATATCTCCAGATAAGAAGTTGTGTTATGTCAATGCCTCAACACACAGGAGTGAACCAAATATTGGACTATTTGACTCTTCCCTCTCATCATCATCATGCTTCATCGTTCTACAGCAGAATCAATGATGCAATGAGTGATGGCTGCAAAGCACTGAAGGTTCTATGGGAAAAGGACATGGGGGTTACATTTGGAGATGATGAATGGCAGAAAATGGGAAATTTGTGAGAATACAAAGGGAAATTTACACAATATAAGATACTGCAAAGATATTACTGGACCCCAGTAAGATTGCATAGGTCGGGTCTAAAGAACAATGCTTTGTGTTGGAAATGTCAGAATGATGTTGGTACTTTTATTCACTGTCTCTGGGAATGCTCAATTATTGAACGCTTTTGGATACAGGTCATATGTGTCCTGAGTGAATGGTTTGGAAAGACAGTATCGCTCTGCTCCAGACTGTGTTTATTAGGAGATAAAAGAAGCATAGGTAATATATCAATAGGGGAATTCTCCGTTATCATGGTTGGGATAACAGTAGCAGCCAGAGTTATTCTCAAACATTGGAAAATTCCAAACGTCCCACAAATTAAGGAATGGGCAAATATGATGACAAAAATGGCCTCATATGAGTGCATGTTAAATAGGTTAAAGAATAGGGGCAGAGATACATCAGTCTGGGACACATTCTGGTCATACATTACGATCCATTCCACTCAACAGGAGGAAACAATATGATCTGTCAACCTCACAATTCCAACCATTTTTTTGTTTATTTTTTGTTTGTTTTTTATATATATTTTCTGTTGCCGTGTATAATGGCCCCCAGCCATGTTTTTCTGAAAGTATACATAGTTGCCATATTGTCATAATGAGCGTCAACTGTTTCTGTTTTGTTTGTGGGTTTTTTTGTACCAAGGAAAAAAAAAAGAAAACTTCAATAAAAACTTGAATTACACAAAAAAAAATATTCATATGCCTCCAAATATCAATTAGATTTAAATCATTCATAAATTTGTGTATAACTAATCGGGTCTGGTGGTGTGTTGTGTCTATCCCTGTAGAGCGGTCCCAAATGGGATCCAATACACAATTAAAATCACCACCAACTAGATGGAAACCAGGGTAAGAGGAAATAAGGAGGAATAGGTCTTGGTGGAAGGATGGCTTATCTTCATTAGGAGCATAGATGTTTAGCATTGTAACTTTTGTTCCAAGTATGGTCCCATGAAGAAGAATGAATCTTCCTAGGGGGTCAAATATTTCATCCTTCACTTGAAATGGTATGGATTTATGAATAAGAGTAACTACACCTCGTGAATGAGAGGTATAACAGGCTGAAAACACTGTTCCTGGCCACCTTTTTTTAATTTTATCAATATCCACCCCGGTTAAATGTGTCTCCTGAATAAAAACTATTTGTGATTTGATGTATTTAATCCTTTGAAATATTTGTTTCATTTTAATTACTTTATTTAACCCGCGTACATTCCAGCTAGTTATCTTAATTTCTTTTCCTTCAGACATTATGATGGAAACAAAACATTTTTGAAAGCCATTTTAACTGTGGCCAGTGAATGTGATATTTTACACAGTGGAATGATATAAAGCATACAAGAGAAAAAAAAATAAAAATAAAATAGATAGAATAAATAAAACGGAGATCTCCAGTCCCCCCCATAACCTTTCCACGCTTATTTAAATAAAGCGTGTCCCTCCCACCTAACCTAGTCCCCGCAGTCATGCAGTAAAGTTGATCCTCTTCTGGCGGAGCAACGTGGTGTGAATGCTGACTCGTTGTTTTAAATATTATTTCTTCTTCTGTTTTAAGTGACTGTTCGTATGGGCTCCTTAATATTCAAGTGAATTAATAAATAAATAATAATCCATCATGGAGTATTCTTCAAATGAACATTTTGGCATTTGCCCATCCACACGCATTATATCAGTATGGAGAAGTGAGTGGAGTTGTGGCAATAGAGGCATACTGACTTTAAGGGCGTTCATCTGGGCTTCGGCCTTCTGCTTGAAGATGAGGTGAGACCGCCGGAGTCTGTAATCCCCGGAGAAACTCCTCCGCTTCTTGAGGAGTTTTAAAGATGTTTCGCTGGCCACCGTGTGTCACGAGTAGTTGAGCTGGGTACAGTATTCCATATCGATCACCCAGCGCTCGGAATTTGGCTTTTACTGCGTCAAACTGCCGTTGCTGCTTTCGCGTTTCAGCTGACAAATCTGGGTAGAAGCCAATACGGTGAGTGTTATATTTGACATCCTTCCTACTCCGTGCAGCATTCAGGATCCTCACTCGATCTTGATAGTGTAGCATCTTCATGACGATGGCTCTGGGTGCCGTGGATGTGCGGTTTTGGGACACTTGCCCCGTACGGTGCACTCTTTCTATGGCATGCGATGAAAGGCTAACGCCGAGAGCTCCGGGCAGCCACTGGAGTAGAAATGCGCACATATCAGAGGCTTCAGCACCTTCAGGCAGGCCAACAATTCTCACATTTGAGCGCCTTGCTCTATCTTCTTGATCTTGAAGTTTCAACTGCAGGGAGTCTACTGAGCTCTGAAGTAGATCTACTTTATTCTTTAGCACCACCACATCGTCTTCTGTCTGACTTATTCTCTCTTCTGCTTCTCTCACTCGTTTACTTTGCTCAATTAGATCTGATTTTATGTCCATTATTGCCTTCAGCATGTCAGTAGAACGTGTTTTAGTTTCTTCTTGTAGTGATTTTAAAACATCCATTAAATCACTGTTGGAAGGCATTTCGCTCTGAGCTGCGCGCTCCTCTTCTGAGCGTGCGTCTTTTTGATTGACCGCAGCTGTTGCAGATCTTGTAGTCATTCTAGTGTCTTGCACTTTAGTCCGAGATTTCGTTACCTTGTGCTTTTCTTTGGAGCTTTTACATGGCATTTAGACTTGCACAAATTGAGAAACAAACGATGCGCGTTCTCAAATCCTTTGTGTTACGGATTAATATAGTTTAAAGGGGTTTTTCAGGAGCCCTCACACGAGCGTCTCGTCAGCACCACTGCATAGCCGGAAGTCTATGGTTATTAAGATAATTTGGTTCCTCCTGGATCTGGCATGGGTCTCCTTCACTTGGGACCGAAGTTATTTTACCACCTGAGAATGGACTGATTTAATAAGAAAAAGTCATGGGATGGAGCAGCTAGCTCCATCCCATGACTGAGCTTCATGTTGGCCGCTGTTTCCTCCATCTTTTCCTTTTGAGCCAAAGCTTTTGGGGTGAGATTGAGAACTGTGCAGTAGACTGAGGCTGTCTGACAAAGACAAAACGGTGTATAGTTTTGAGTAAATAGATTCGTTTTTAGGTTTTTGTGTGCAGATACGATTCTACTGAGCTATGTGTAGGCTGTGGGGCTGCAACCGTAAACCCCAAATCGGACAAAAATGTGCAACTCACCCCCCTCCCTTTCAGATTCATTAGTTTACAGTACGCATTTTAACTGGTTCTATGTTGACGAGAGCTGAATTAGACAAAATACTGATACAACTACATCACTCAACGTCTGAACAGGTCCTGATTGGTAAATCCAGAGCTTTAGGTACAGACAATGCTGTTCACCAAAACAGTTTGACCACATCACTTCCGATGCTAAACAAGACTGGAAATACACTTGGGGAAGGACCATTACATTATTACTATTACCATATTATTACCATTATTGCTGATTTAATCTCAGCTCCTTCACACGTCCTTGTGCCTGTTGGAGGTCGTGGTTTAAAGGTACACTGTGTAATTCTTGTGCCATCTAGCGTTGAGATCTTATATCGCAGTCCAAGCTACTACGGAAGGAGTCAAGGAGTCATCACACCAGACTGCCAAGGAATGAATAGCTACTTTAGTTTGATAAATGACTGGATCTCTCCAAACGTCTCGGCCATTTGACAGTCACGTGGAGGCGACATGTAAACAAGACCGCGTTCAGACGCGGCACCCACTCTACAGAGGCTCTACTGAGTTTTACCCATGGATCTATGATAATATATACTTTTACCAACGCGTTGTGAAGAAAAGAGACGCATGGAGGAATAACGTCTACGGGAGCTTAAATCTACGATGTCAAAGAAGCAGTAGATATATAGAGCCGCGGCAGAACATGGCTAAAAGCTCATGTTAGCTTTAGCATTAGCCCTATCTGCATCACAGTAAGAAAACAGAACATTCACTCACGCTGCTGATTGTATTCTGGCGATTGTTTTGTGGGGATTCTTTGTGTGTTTTATTTGAGGCCCTGAATAAGTTTAGTTGAAACTTGTGACAGTAGTTGGACTGCGCTCGGATCGGGTCAGAACATCCTGAGACTTGCATATTCTGCCTCGTTCTCATTACTGTCAGTGTGAAAAAAGTTACGTATTGTCGTGTGAGTCTGTTGTGTACAAACTCCACGCTGTTGTGTTAACGCTGTCTTTTGGAGCGTGTGGTTTGCGATGTTGACACTTGGCTGCTATGATGCTGGACTTTTTCAAAAAGATTGTTGTTCGGATCGTTCTTTTACGTAACTGTGGTCCTCCTTCCTTCTAATTTGTGAAGTCATGGTGAAAGCAACAATATCAGTAGTTCATGTGAAACAAAAACGCGATTCTCTCATCCTTTTTTTCCCTTATCCACCACTGTTTTCCAAGATGGCGCATTGACATGGAGAGCACTCCTCTCTCATGGACGTTTATAAGTTAAATTCTAAGCCTATGAATACAATTCAAAAAACACGGTGGAGGTAAATATTCTTAAAAAGGTCACATTTGTTATTAGTTAACATGTTTTTTTCATATGGAGCAGTTGGAAAAATTACACAAGGTGGCTTTAAAGAGGCCAGCAGGACATAATCTCCAAACCGCTTCCTTTTGTTGCAGAGCTGAATATTCTGTCCAGTTAGGGCTGGGCGACATGGCAAAAAAGTAAAATCTCGATTTTATTTCCTGCTTTGGACGATTTCGATTTTAAATAGATTTTCATTCAAGTTTGCCCTTAAAAATATTTTTGGATCTTTCCGCTCATTAATCAAGTTTCAAACCCATTTTTATTTTGTTTCCCCCAATACATATTAATAAAAGTCTTGTACAGACTGTGCTGATATTGCAAGTATAATTTATGTGCTGCTGGAACTCTCAGAATATCCTTAATTCAATTTCTCGATTTTCACATTTTTCACATTCGTTTTTTTTCAAAAGCCGATTAATTGCCTAAATTCGATTTATTGCCCAGCCCTATGTCCAGTGAAGAGAGAATAATAAAGGGCATGCAACTGTATTATTAGAACCCTGCTTTGAAATGTCTTTTTTATGTCGTCATAGAGTTTGTATGTTGGGGAATAGAACCATCAACGCCCACGACTTTGCTGATCGAAACTGCATGAAAACAATTTTAGTTGAGCAACCACAGACTGCAGAGAGCGAAGATGCCAATCTCACTTCTGCTGCAGGCAAGTTATTTTTAAAGGGCTTTTAAAGCTAGGGTACCTCATTTTCAAACTACAACAAAATTGTAACTATAGAACAACAGTTAGGTTCAATCACACGCTTGCATTTTTTGTCATATCTTCAGAAAAAAAAATTAAGACAGAAAAGAGCGGGCCACCCACGCTCGGCCAATCAAATTACAGCCCCAAATTCAATTTTATCTCAAGAGCTAAAAATCTTTTGAGACAATGACTGCATGTTTTTGTCTGATTAGTTCACAAGATTTGACTTTAAGACATGGTAAAAACATTGGTCGGGAAAGTTAGGTTCCCCAGCTTTAAGTTCACCGTGATTTAAAGACGCCTATGCTTAGCTTTTACAGAGAATGTCACAATGGCGCCGTCGCTCGTCCCCCTCGTGATGGTGGAGCAGACTACAGACCTTTGGAGACACTTCTGTCACAGTGCAGAGCTCAACGCTTCATGTGACGAATATTTTATTGACAACAACTTCACTGAGGTCGACGGCATCCCAGGACTCGCCTCGGGCATCATCTCCGGTGAGACGCTTATCCACTCTGTCATCCATGCACATGTGCTTTAAACACAGACTTTATATAGAGGGACATTGCCAGCCTTCTGGCTCCATTGGCCCATTGAAAAGTAACCTCTCTTTTGGTCACACTCACAATTTTGGGCCTTTAGGGTTTAGGGATCCTTGTGATACTGGGGTTTACATTTTCATATTGTCTTTGTAAATCCAGTTGTTTGGTCAGTTGTGGGTCTTATTGAACATCTGTTCCCAACAACATCTACATACATTTGGCTCCACATTCCCACTCTCACTAGCCTCTTGGGGCTAGCTCTAATCAGCCTTTTCCGCATTAACCCATTTAGGCCCACACCTGGAAAACACACCTGTAAAACCTATGGCCAACTTAAGAATCACACTCTAAAACCTGAAGTTTTCCTGAAATTCAATGTCTACTGTATCTGTAGCAGATAGAAACATGATTCCAAAAATAATTAGAGCTGACACCTGTGGCTTTTAATAAGAATGGAAAGTATTATAATAAACCTTCACAATTGGGCAGCACAGTGGCTGAGTGGAAAGCACTCTCGCCTCTCAGCAAGGAGGTCCTGGGTTCGAATCCCGGTCGGACCAGGGCATTTCTGAGTGGAGTTTGCATGTTCTCCCCGTGTCTGCGTAGGTTTCCTCCGGGTACTCCGGTTTCCCCTACCACTAAAAACATGTACAATAGGTCTGGCATGCGCCTCCTGTACTGGCGACCCCACTCCCATCTCTGTGTGGAGTGAGAGGACAACTGCCCAAAAATAACAATTGTAAACCGCTTTGTGACTCTGGTCTGTGAAAGGCGGTATTTAAATAAAGATTACTTACTTACTTACTTAGAATAATACTTATTCCTAAATACAATAAGTTTACAAGAGTTTGGCAATAAAATGGCACTATGTGTAAAAAAAAAATATTTAAAATCCACTCTCAAAAAGTAAGGAAAATAGAAAAATCAAGAGTTGTGGTTTGTTCTGTTTGATTTGTTCACAACATTTTACTTTTGTGCACAATTAACATTCATTATCAATGCAAGTAAAAAATTGGGTACCTCAGCTTTATTTCAGTGAAGTTTTGGGGGAGACATGGAGGAGACACGGGGAAGACCCGCACGTGCATAAAGCTGGGGAGGGTCTTGTACGCACGTCTATGGTTCTGTTCACGCGTCTATTGTCCGCGCTCTGTACCACTTTACGGCTGCGCGTTTGCTGAGGTAACGTCAATGCGGCTGTCATTACAAAGCGACCACAGTTGCTCCCGGGGTCAGAACGGAGGATGTGGAATCCCGTTCGAGTACGTAATGCAAACAACAGCCCGCGGTCTCCATCTTGTCTGCTATCAAGGAGTGATGTGTCACCATAGTAATGTGCACCGGCAAGTTTGTAGTGGGAGGGATGTGTAACCTGGGTCAATAACTTTCAGAAATGGGTTTGTGCTTTAAAGTTTCCAGTCAAATGAACAGGATACAATTGGTGCAAAACACTTTGGGAAATTGTTTTGGCCTATTTGTTTGTCTGTTTCCATTTTTCCATTTTTTTGCAGAGAACCTGTGGAGCTCGTACTTGAGTAAAGGCGACGTTGTGGAGAAGCCGCACCTCCAGTCCTCTCCCTCCCCCTTGATCGCCCAGCCCTTCGTCTTCGCTGACATCACCACCTCCTTCACGCTGCTCGTTGGCATCTTCTTCCCCTCAGTCACCGGTGATTTTAAAATAGTGTATTGCACAGCCCCGTGTCGATAAAGTTCTGATGTCACCATAATTCGGAAGAAGCAGATTTTAACATAAGGTAGCTGGCGGCAATTTCCTTATATGGGTATTTTCACCGACACAATTCGCTTTGTGTCATAACAGGGGAAAACGCGTTACTGACATGATTGCAAAGGCAAGATGGAGTTTCCCCTGTGAATGAACCAAACCCCGGTGATCAAAGATGGCGCCCTATTCAAATGAATGGCATGTGCTCAGTAGCGCAGGGGACATCACGGGTGCTGACATATTAGCGGAACTTGCCTATATTTGGGCATCGTCTGGTCCTCCCGGGTTCTGCGCAGTTGACAAGCTCCCATGATGCGTTGCGCCAAATACTCGTGTGTGGCTCTCATGCACGTGCACAGAGGGGCTCGGCCGCGTTTTGACCAATCAGCGCTGCTGATCAGAGCAGCGGTAGAGCGGAGCCAGAGCGGGAAGGAAAAGAGCAGAGTTTGTGGCACTAATGTGTGGATTTAAAGAAAACCGAAGGATTTAAGAAGAAAAAAAGTTCAGGATGACAAGGGACACTAAAAACCCCTCAAAATCCCATCTTTATGAAAGCTGTACGTTCTCTGTCAGCTGAGGTGGAGCTGTTTTAGTTTACATTGAGTTCTATGGGGAAAATGGCTGGGTAGCCCACGTGAATTTATTATGCAGTACCACGGGTACCCCCTGCCCATGGGTGGAACAGCTAAAAGCTAGTAATACCCTATCCAATTATTATTGTAGATCCATGGAATGAACGCATCTGGTAGCATTGTCCATCTGTCCAACATTCCATAATGTAACCTTGTCTTTTGACTGGTGGAGTCTATGTGGAATCTTTTTTTATAGCTTCTGTGCATGTGAAGCACCAGGGCTGCTGGTGTTGTTGTATATGCTATATAAAATACTGACATTGACATCCCTTATAGACCTTCCTTATTCGAAAATCTCATCATTTCCAGGATCAGTTTGTGCCACATATTTGTCGATAACTGCGGCTTCTGTGTCCTCAGGGATAATGGCCGGATCGAACCGCTCTGGAGACCTGAAGGACGCTCAGAAGTCCATTCCCATTGGCACCATCCTGGCCATCCTCACAACGTCCTGCGTCTGTATCCTTCAAAGGATACATACTAACAAAACAAACCACCTGAGCCATACGCTCAGAATAGTTACAATGGCCAGGCAGACAAATAAAATGTCACCACATTACTTTTCATCAAAAACGGACTTGGTGTTCTTGCTAATATCCAATGCAGGAAGGTCTGGACTAAAACATGGGAATTCCTACCAAAACCCTCTACATTCAACCCACTTTGCGGCAGAATAATTTTTATGAAGTATATCCAGTGGGGGCGGGTCCCGGCACAAAAAGGTACATTAGCAGGCGCACTGACATACTTGCAATACCACTCCTAGCCGGTGGAGGTGGACTCAGAAAGAGAATTATCCAATGCTTTTGTATCAAGTATATATTTTTGGACCATTCTAGTATTCCCACTATGGACTTTTGAAGGTGCCAGCTGACGCATGTGCAAATGCGTTTGTTCAACATTTTCCTGCCCGCGGTCATTTTGAAACTGCCCACAGAAGGGGAATGTAGTGGCACATTAGTGTCAACGGCGGAGATAGGTGTGACTATGTTTGTTAATATTTACAGTCTGAGTATACCGCATAGTGAACCCCTTTATAACGAAGGACCAATGTACACACTAGGTTACCATATAGGCTAAAGTGCCTAAAATGGTTTAATCTTAGATAAACTGCACTGAAATGAGGTGCATGTGTGTTTACCATGTTGCTCTGGTTGGTTGTTAGAGCGAAGAGGCATTGATTTTCCCAGTTTGGTTAGAATGGGCTCCATAATCTTATTCTGACCAGAAATGTGAGGATGACGTAGTCAGGCTACCAAATTATGATTAAAGCCTGAATCGTTTCTCAGGTTAATAAAAAAAGTATGATTTTAAAAAAACCTGGTGGTGAGGGGGAAGCGTCTGCAAAGTGTGTGGGGATAGGGAAGTCACTGCTTGAGCCACATTCCCACCACTGATGCATGGGTGGGCTTTGACGCTAACGAGTTTAAGCTAGTGCCTTTGTGTGTAAAGAATTAACTGCTCACAGATCTTCGCCATGGATGTATTATATTAATAACTGGTTCTTCCGCATTGGAAATCATGTTTGCAGGACTTGTTTACAGTCACAGTAGAGTTTCAACTCAATGGGAAGATATATGTTCAACCGCACTGTGTCCCCCATTGACAGCCCTGGTTTAATCCTGGTTTATCTCATGTTTTGGTTGATTTTGAGTACCTTCCTTTTTTGGCCTGCTCGTGTCACTGTGAACACTGTGCTGCTCTCTGATTGGCACGTGCGGCAACCAATCAGAGGATTTTCTGGGAATATCTTCTACAACGTTTGCTGCATGGATCTAGCTGCTGTACCCACCGCCTCTGCCATGCCGCAAAATCGCGTCTGCGGTGCAGGACTAACATGCAGCGACGTGCATGCATGCAGCGACGTGCATGCAGCGACGTGCATGCAGCGACGTGCATGCAGCGACGTGCATGCAGCGACGTGCATGCAGCGACGTGCATGCAACGACGTGCATGCAGCGACGTGCATGCAGCGACGTGCATGCCGCCACATGCATGCCGCCACATGTATGCCGCCAAATGCATGCCGGAACATACAAGGATAAAGTGGAAGAAAGTTGATACATTTTCTTCAACTTTCTCTTGCAGGTGCAGCAGTCTAAATTACCATCCATGTTTTTCTTTACTGATCTGCTGTTCCATCTGGGAGTGAACTTGCTATCTCTTTCGTCGTTTCTATTACTAGTTAACCCATTTAACACAATCTATTTAAACTTGTTGGATTTAGCACTCGCAAAGAAAACAGAAGTGCAACTTTCACCAAAACTGTTTTCTAGGCCATTGTTTACATGTGGGTCAAGTGAAGAAGGTTATAAAACTACTCAAGTCACAGAAGGGACAATAATATGCATAATGACTGTAGTTGAGGCGAGTGAAGCTCTTACCATCAGTAAGAGCTGTTTCATGCACTGCTCATTCCTTTATATAGTTGTTAACAATTATGTTTGAAATATATATTGCATTGGTTTCTCCAGTTTTTGAATTTCTCAGCTGCTGTGAATGTACATTTCCACCATTACTAAAGACTACTACTACTACTACAATAACCACAACTATTACATCATATTTAGAGTTTCCCATATGTTTTTTACATGTGAAAGACTACACTCCCTCAGTCAAAGTCACTTTTAATACAGTTCCAAAAGTACTGATGTGTGTATAATTCATAAGAACATTGTGGTGTGTTCAAGTGCTGACAGTTTGAATGTATTTTAATGTAATAAGACTTGTGTTTCCTGACTGCACCGTCAGACTTGAGCTGTGTGGTGCTGTTTGGAGCCTGCATCGATGGAGTAGTACTCAGAGACAAGTCAGTGTGAAATCATTAATATTTATGAATATGAAAGGTTGTTTAAAGACTTTTCACACAACAGTCAGTATGATTGTATTTAAGATTTTGCTAAAGAGTTTCCTATTTTCATTCCATTTAGTTTTTTTTTTTACTTCAGGGCTGTATGCAATATTTTTCTTATTAATTACATTAATAATACATTAAATGTAATTACATTTACATTTGTTTTGTCCCCGGATAACAGGTCAGACGTACAAATTACGTTTGACCTTTTCGAACAACTGCTTAGGAGAGTTATTCTTAACTAAAACATCATTACATGTCTAACATTTTTCTCATTTGGGTTGCCGGTTTGTAAGAGCCAGAAAAAGTAAAATGTCACCGAACATGCATGATGCTTGGATTTTTCTAAAGGTATGTTTCCCTGGCAAATGAATGTATCTGAATGTAAATCTAGATACGAGCCATAAGGATTGACCAAAGACAATATCAAAGAGCAACCACCATAACATAAGGGGAATTTTCCACCATGAACATCAACAACTAAATCATACAATGTTTTAAAGTAAAAAGTGGTGAGAGACACAAACGGTTCTAGAGGGAGTTTACTTTTTAATGAATTTCAATAGGAGCCAGAGCAAGTTGAACCAAAACCTCACCCATGATCTCCCCTATTGGGCTTCATTGTGTGTTAGCATAGTCCATTTATTTAGAGTCTATGGTCGTTCCCTACGGAGGTTTAACCACCTTGTTCCCTGTTCTTGTGCCCTCCTCAGGTTTGGAGATTCAGTGCAGGGTAACCTGGTGGTGGGGACCCTGGCCTGGCCCACTCCCTGGGTGATTGTGATCGGCTCGTTCTTCTCCACATGTGGAGCTGGTCTGCAGTCTCTGACCGGAGCGCCTCGACTGCTGCAAGCTATAGCGAAGGACAACATCATCCCCTTCCTCCGGGTCAGCACTTACACACTATTACAGTCTGCATGAAGTCTTAATGAGACAACTCCCTTGATATTTCCTTATCAGTCACAGACCTGGAGTTTTTTTTGGTCCGTCCATGCTAAGATCAGGAAAATCTGGCACAAACATGAAACTCTGTCTGTCTAAAAGCTTGTCTGAGCTTGTCCCACCCGCGGGAAGTTTTTATTTTTAAAATGTTCTGCCGGCAATAGAAGATGTAGAAGAATATCCAATTGTATTTTCCAATGCATAATCCATTCTGGAGAAATAATCCAAAAGATTTTTTTTTTCAAATGTTCTGAAAGAACACAGAGGCTGCTCTTTTACAGTCTGTGGGGTTTAGCTTTTGTTTTTCCCCCAAAGACAGGGTATTAGATGCCTTTTTTGCATGTCATTGCATTAGAGGCAAGATCAAAATACATAAAATGTATCAAATACTGCGTTTAAACTAGAGCGTTGAACCTTGCCTAGTATTTTGACCGACAAGCAAGCAAATGACCCACGTACATTAAATAGGGCTTCTTTGGTTTAGTCTTCTCGATTAGGTACAAATGAATGAAATGGCGTATTATTCATTTGCTCTAATAAGTTTATTCATAATGTTGCATATTTTACATGAGGCCGACTCTCAAAATTAACGCTAAAATGTTGAATTTTTCAAAAGGATTTGTTATATTTTCCTCTGCTGTGTTTTCTGCACTGCTTTGCTATATCTACTATGTCAGTGATTTGACGCGTTTTATTGGCTCAATTAGGGGTGGGCGATATATATCGTAGAGCATATTATTGCAAAAGTAAATTTGAAGAGGTGCTTTTAAAAAAAAAAAATGTTGTGATGTTTATTTTACACATTGCAATTAGACCAGGCAAGATGCCCATTTGTCAAATGCGTGTCTCAAAAGCCAATCACTGCTTTATTTGTACATTTAAGCAAATATTGGATGTGTTCTTCCCGTGTTTCTTGAATTTGATTTTAAATGTTAATTTATATACTCAACAAAAATATAAACACTTTTGTTTTTGCTCCCATTTTCCATGAGAGGGGCTTAAAGATCTAAAATTCATTCCTGATACACAATATTACCATTACTCTCAAACATTCTTCACAAATCTGTCTAAATGTGTGATAGTGAGCATTTGTGCTTTGCTGAGATAATCCATCCCACCTCACAGGTGTGCCACATCAAGATGCTGATCTGACAACATGATCTGTGCGCAGGTGTGCCTTAGACTGTCCACAATAAAAGACCACTCTGAAATGTGCATTATTTTGCTTTAAAAGGGGTCTGGGGACTAAGAACCAGTCAGTATCTGATGTGACCACAATTTTCCTCATGCAGTGCAACTCATCTTCTTCGCATAGAGAGATCAGATTGTCAATTGAGGCCTGTGGAATGTTGGTCCACTCCTCTTCAATGGCTGTGCGAAGTTGCTGGATATCAGTGGGAACTAGTGCACGCTGTTGTATACGCCGGGCAAGCACATCCCAAACATGCTCACTGGGTGACTTGTCCGGTGAGTATGCTGGCCATGCAAGAACTGGGACATTTTCAGCGTCCAAGAATTGTGTACAGATCCTTGCAACATGGGGCCGTGCATTATCTTGCTGAAACATGAGGTGATGTTCATGGATGTATGGCACAACAATGGGCCTCAGGATCTCATCACGGTATCTCTGCATTCACAATGCCAACAATAAAATGCACCTGTGTTCTTCGACCGTAACACATGCCTGCCCATACCAAAACCCCACCACTACCATGGGCCACTCGATCCACAACATTGACATCAGCAAAGCACTCACCCACACAGCACCACACACGCCGTCTGCCATCTGCCCTGAACAATGCAAACAGAGATTCATCCGTGAAGAGACCACTTCTCCAACGTGCCAGACGCCATCGAATTTGAGCATGCAGTTGAGCTTCCCTGAGACTTTTTCTGACAGTTTGTGCAGAAATTGTTTGGTTATGCAAACAAATTGTTTCAGCAGCTCTTTCAGTGGATGGTCTCAGACGATCTTGGAGGTGAACCTGCTTGATGTGGAGGTCCTGGGCTGGGGTGGTTACACATGGTCTGCGGTTGTGAGGCTGGTTGGATGTACTGCCATATTCTCTGAAACTCCTTTGAAGACGGCTTATGGTGGAGAAATTAACATTCAATGCACAAGCAACAGATCTGGTTGACATTCCTGCTGTCAGCATGCCAATTGCACGCTTCCTCAATGCTTGTGACATTTTTCTGTGAGACAGAACTGCACATTTCAGAGTGGTCTTTTATTGTGGACAGTTTAAGGCACACCTGTGCACTAATCATGATGTCAGATCAGCATCTTGATGTGGCACACCTGTGAGGTGGGATGGATTATCTCAGCAAAGCAGAAGTGATCACTATCACACATTTAGACATATTTGTGAAGAATGTTTCAGAGCAATGGTAATATTGTGTTTCTGGAATGAATTTTAGATCTTTAAGATAGGGATGCACCGATCCGTTACTGGTATCGATATTGGCACCGATACCAGAAAAAATACTGGATCGGATATCTGCCTAGAGAGAGGCGCCGTGCTGCCGATCCATTTTCTTTTCCTTAAAAAAAAAAAATTATATTTTTTAATACATACCGAATACCGCACAATGTCTTAAAATACATTGTGCATAATGTACATATACGTATAAAATGAATTAATTAAAAGTAATTTATCAGATTACGTGAAAACGAGACACAGATGACACTGATGCAGCGTCACAAAAAGCTTTTCAGCAACAACCTGAAAGTGTTGGGAGTTCATCAGTTTGGGCTCGCAGACCCATAGACCATTTGGAACCCAGGTACATGCCGTCGCCAAATACATATCTGAAATCCAGTTAAAGCTACGGTACTATTATTTATTTACATTTTCATGCAGCGTGTTTTGTTTGTTGTGTTTTTTTATTCAAACACAGTTAATATAAGTACATTTATATTCAATAAATGTATAAGGTATAATACAGTGTTGGAATGTTTAATTGAGCAGCTCTTTATAGTTGCAGTATTGCACATTTATGTTGGATAAATTTTTATCTGGCAAGTTTAGCGCTTTAGTTCATCCACTGCTTTTGCAGTTACTTGAACAAAGAGTTCAATTATTAAATACATTTTAGCATGATCATTTCCGGTATCGGTCAATATCGGTATCGGCAGAAACCCATAGCTCTGGTATCGGTATCGGTAGTAAAAAAGCTGGATCGGTGCATCTCTACTTTAAGACCATCTCATGGAAATATGGGAGCAAAAACAAAAGTGTTATGTTTATATTTTTAGTGTTGGTGCACGTTTTGCAAAGATGTGTGAAGCACTTTACAAATAAAGCTGTGATTTTAATCTACACTGTATCCATAGATGCCCTGACAAGCAAAACCCATCATTTTGTGTAAAAATGTGATTTTATAGTTATCGGGACATTATCGGTATCGGGACATTATCGGGACATAATCGGGACATAATCGGGACATAATCGGGACATTATCGGGACATAATCGATATTATCAGGACATTATTGGGCGTTGCAGCATTACTGCAGTAGGATGGCTCGTGCCATAATTATGTGAGAAGATGAAATGGTGACTGACCGTGGCCTTTGGGCCTGAAGGTCTTGGGTTTGAGCCCACCGTAAAACCTACTTCACGACTCCCACTGATGACTGCTGTCGTTGTGTCCTTGGGCAAGACACTTAACCCCACTTTGCCTGAAGCTCGCGCTGAAAGATCTCAGATCCTGTGGACTCACCACCTGCAGGGGGATCAGTGAGGGGCTGGTGCTATGTGTACTGGGTGCAGCTCTGACTGCCACCCCCCTGACCCAGAAATGGATTAAGGGGAAAAAAAAATATGGATGGATGGAAGATGAAATGGTATGCATTTTAAACCACATTTGGAACATGCTATTCAGAAGCTGCAGTGATTAATGGCGCTATACCTGTTTCAGCAAGGTTTTTTTCAGTTTGAATGTTAAGCACCGCACCCCAACTCGCTCACAGGCTTCTCATTTCCCCTACGCTTTCATCCCATGAAGCCATCTAGTTTTATTGGCGATCTGATACGTATGCGAACATTAGCAATAGCCCAACTTCTTGTAAGCTGTACAACAATCACTGATGAAATGGTAAAAAAGCAACGCACTGCTAACAAAATATGTAACTGACTGAAAGATTACCGCTAGTTTCGCGTCTAGTCCGAGGCGGTCCCGCTCCCGCAAGTCTCTCCAGAGGATGCAATATAGGCTAACGCTACGTATATGTAAGCTAGCTATGTTCACCCTGGCTTGATTTCTTCTTTGATAATTTTTTCGCTTTAGCTCCCTCTTCTCTTCCTCACTGTTGCGTCGTTTGGGCTGTTTTGGTGTGTATGCAGTAACTAGGGTTGCCAACCGTCCCTTGAAATACGAAATTGTCCTGTATTATAAAAAAACTATGTGCATCCCGTATTGAAATGATACGGGACGGCTTTTGTCCCGTATTTTCAGAGCCACCTTAAATGCATCACACTCTCACTGCATGTCACACGCGCGACACACGCACACACAGTAATGATCACAGTTTAAGCATCTACCTTTTGGCCAATCGGAGTCAAAGGGGCGTAGGCTTGATCACAGACGTTTTTTTAATGTTGACAATCGCCAGCGTGGGCCGTGCCCGCAGCATCACCACAGCAGAAGTTTGGTAAAGGTGCGTCATTTTCCCAGATTCGGACTTCCGCGGTCAATAGATCACGAAAGCTACTTTGTTAAACAAAAGTAATTGTGCTAAAAGGATCATATTTACGTTGATTTTACAAATTCAATGCTCTGTCTTAATGCAGAGAAATCCTCTGAATCCAATGCACTGCAAGCGCCGAGAAAAGCACTTAGGGACCGTCAACAAATATCCAGACCAGCTTTGTAAACGAACAATAGCTTTTACTGAAGCCACAAACCTGCATTACCTGCACAAAACTCAGACAATATAAATAATGGTGACCATATCGAACTGCTACAGACTTTGATTTGTGAGTTTTTTTATGAATACATATGTTTTTTTTTTAATTTGCTTTTACAGAAATTGGTCTTTACTGTAACATTCATAAATAATGTATGTTACAGTATTTGTCTTTTTTATATTTTTTTTATTACTAATAAGAATGCATTAAGTCCTTAACCAGCCAAAGAGTTCCACCTATTTATTCAATTTCATTTTTGACTAAGGATTTGTTTGTAATTTATTAACTACATATAAAAAAACAAATCTAAAAACTGTTATTATGAAATTCCATGATTACTGTGTAGACTGATGACAATCAAGTTGGCAACCCTAGCAGTAACAACAAGAGGAGTTATAGCCAATTCTGCTAACATGCTACTGTGTTTACCAGCGCTGTAGACGCTACAGGAAGCAGCCTGTTCGTAACAGTGCTGCTCCTCGTTCTGTGAGAGGAGAACGAGTGTCACGCTAAGTCTCTACTCAGCACTTTTTATGGCCTGAATCAATGAGCTCAAGTTTTCAATTAAACTACTGATTTTAATACAACTTGTATGTTGTAAAACGCGTTTTTATGAACTCATTAGAAAATAAATCTGGTATAGCTTAAATGTGTCTTCTAGATGTCAGTGCTAGCTGTGGTTTCGACACATTTAAAACTGTCTGGCAAGGAAAGCTTCTGTGTGTTTAATATTTACTGTCTATGGTTACGGAGCTGTAACTGAATACAGTTACTCAAAAACAGTTACCCCCGCCCCCCTTCGGGACTCGCCGGAACAACTCATCTGCTGTGTTCCGGGACCTCCCACATCAGTGACGTGCGGTCAGATGAGGCAGGTGAGGCCCGGCCTACGATCGTGGAAAGAAAAAAGAATAAAATGGAAACAAAAATACTTGGTCACTATATCAAGTGATTTATGTTATTGTATTATTTTCATGTAACTTTGCCTTATTTCATTTATTTTTACCTTGAAATCGCAGATTTTCTTACAATGTTCTCATATCATCTCAGCGGTGCGCTGTGAGGCAAGCCTCACTTGGGAGACGTAAAAGCCTGTAGTTCATAGAGGCCTGTGCAGTGCTAACGAACTGTTTTCTCTGTTTATCGCGGTTTACAAAGTTTCAAACATAGTTCAAAGTGAAGCCAGCCTCAGGTTAGGGATGTGAGCGCAGAATTCGGCTGCATCCGATTCCATCAGAAAGCTCCTTTCTTGTTCTTCATCTGCTAAGGGAAACTACAGGTTTGGCTAAAATACATGTAGCACATTGTAAGATTATTTGAATTGCACTTAGAGAAAAGTTATGCTTCCACTGATGATAGGAATAATATGGAAGAAGGGTGAAGGGTAAGAAGGTTGAGTTTTAGAAATAGGATGCACCCGAGACAGAGGAGTTAATGGAGGAGGCACCCGTTTTGTTTTTACTTTTTAAAACTCATTGGACTTATTTCTAAATGGAGGATTACATATCCACTCAAACTATTATCTGGACTTAAACATGAAACTTTTCTGAACTGATGTGGTCTGTGCAGTTACAATACAATTTATTCTTGTATAGCCCTAGGTCACAACAGCAGTCATCTCAGAGGACTTAACAAAACCATAGAAATCACCAACACAGGTCAGAGAATCAACAGTTAAAACACATGAAGAATATAAAGCACACACAGAAGAAAATGTCCATACATGTTGTAGAATGCTAAAGTGTCCAGTTCATTTATTAGGTAAGGCCCATAACACAAACGTGCTTTTTACAAACTTTTGTGTTTGGTATGAGCAAACGATGCGGACATGAAACATATTCTGCTGTAGCAATCAAATTGTGAATAAGCCGCTCTGTAGGTCCTGTTGATTTATATGATATATTTATCTGATTGGGGTGAAGTCAGTGCCTCACCAATCACCAACCTCACCGCACGTCACTGTCTCACGTTAGTTTATTCACTGGCGACCGCCAATCAGAGAACTGCACAGTGTTGCTGAGGACATTCTTGCTCAGAGCAGGTGGAAGACACTCGTAAACCAGCCAAACCATGATTATACCAGGACTGACTATGGGGGACACGGTGCTTGTGGACTAATGCAGTGGGAACGGAACTTTCTCTGACCATAGATGGTGCATGTGTTAATCACTTTTTAAATCCTGCTCAGGTTTTTGGTCATGGGAAAGCCAATGGAGAGCCGACGTGGGCGCTGCTCCTGACTGCTTTCATCGCGGAGCTGGGAATCCTCATCGCGTCACTGGACCTGGTCGCTCCCATCCTCACCATGTAAAAACTAATTTCAGTTATTTTGAACCTACACAATATAATCTATTCTTAGTCCCTTTATTCCAGTGGTGTTCAAACTTTTAGTAACAGGGTCACTTTTGTTTACCAGACTTGCCCAGAGCAACTGTTTTGACTGGCTTTTAAAATGAGGTATTACAATTGACAAAACTCAAATTGTCTGTATGGGACAAATGTGTACTTTCTCGCCAGCTATGGTGGCACAAACTGAATTTTGTGCTACAATCAAAAACCGGGCCTGTTTTGGGTATGTCAAACTATACAAATATTACATGTTCACAGATACATCCACATGATCCATCTTAGTCAAATAATGTATGTGCTACTCCAAGAACATCTCATCTTTGTAGAGCTGTCACAAAAACATTTTGTGGACGATTAATTGTCACATAAATTTACTTATCACCTAATTTTTTGTTATCACACAATAACTCGATATATTGTATATATTAGCCCTACATCTTAGAGCATCTTATTTTAGTATAAATCTTGCCAACCTTAATTTTTCCTTGAATAATACGTTATTTGTCTCAACAGTCTCGTGAGAATAAATTGTGATAAAATCAGATCACAATATGCTTTCTTCATATTATCATAAAACATGTTATCTTTCACATACATGATACTAAGAAAGAGCCCTGTGAGTTACTATTTGACGCTTTGGAGTCAGCTAATTGGTTGGGTAAAGATGGTCTTATTTTTCTCTGTCACATCTTAAGATCAGCTTTTTCCAAGGCCAAAAATACATCAATGTGGAAATGTTACCGTTTTTAGAGAGGAAATCACAAAAATTTAACTGTAACAAAATCCATTTTGTTATAGTTCAGTTGTTGTGGTTTGAATGTTGCATGCCCCAGCTTTAAGTGGGAAAACTTATTTAGTTCAGTTTGTATTATTTCTTTCCCCTCTAGGTTTTTCCTGATGTGCTATCTGTTTGTGAACTTAGCCTGTGCTCTTCAAACTCTGCTCCGGACACCCAACTGGAGGCCGCGGTTCTCCTACTACCACTGGTACAACACGCGTATATTTTGTTGGCAATTCAAGAGAGCATATTGCAATCACACTTGTCGCCTGTGATACTGATTACAGTTGCAATACGGCATTATTTCATTTATACAATTGTGTGGTGCAATTTTCAATGGTGCAATTTTGAACAGAATAGCTCCACTTTAAACTGTTTTTCAGAAAAGATCAAATATGATTTATACATGTGATCTGTTATCTGGGGACAAATAAATGTTTTTATCTTTGTTGAGCAACAATCTACTAAAATAAAAGGAAAACATTCATAAAATTAGCTTGCCTAATCCCAACCCTTACTTTATCCCCAATCAAATTCACGGTGTCTGCCCAAACTTTATTTAAATGTGTGTTTTAAGAGTCACAAATGGCACCAGCGGGCACACGCCTCCAGGTGGTGCCATTAGCACACAAAAAAATCCTTCAATGTGATACTTTGATTTAAACCGGCTTTGAAGCACTTCACAAAAGTAGCCTCTAACAACCTAAGAATTATGTGGAATTTTTGACACTCCCACTTTTTAGAAACTAAGAATATCTTGGTTAACAACTAGATTTTATTATTGAAAAATAACAAACGCACTTTCTTTTCTTTCAACCATGAGAATATTTTTGTGATTTACTTTTTCATTTTCATACTTCTGCCTGTTTCATCTTCACAGGGCTCTATCGTTTTTGGGAATGATGATTTGCCTCGCACTCATGTTTATCTCATCCTGGTATTACGCCATCATTGCCATCGTGATCGCCGGCATGATCTACAAGTACATTGAGTATCATGGGTGAGTCTACAAGCACACGAAGCAGTATGAGTAGTAATAACAGCTCAGAGTTCGGTCAGGCGTTTTCACATGGCCTCAACCTCTCAAGAAAACTGCACATTATGCAGAAGATTGATTATTAATTGAAACAACTCGGATGGACTTGCATGCGCTTAAGTTTGAATTTCCAGTTTGACAGCACGGTTGCATCCTCCCCAGAAAGGCCAGCTCTATTCATATATGAATGTAAATACTAAGGGTCCGTCCAAAATCTGAGGGCTCTCGAGTTGTGAGTGCCCTCAACAGAAAAGTGCCCTCCCGTAGGGCGTGTACATCAGTCTACATCATGGATCTAAAATAATAACATGCGTCCACGTAGCATGTCCACACGCTGTGGCCCCTTTGCAAGCGAACGTCACCACATACGGCACCAAAACACGCTTAACTCGTTGTGTGTCATTGACGCTCTAATACGTCAAAAAAATAGTATCGTTGTGTGCGTTTTCCGCTATTTTAATGTTCCCAGATGTCTATTATATCTAATATGTATGTGGATTAGCTTTAGAGCATATTTTATTGAGCCAGCAGGTATTGGCAGTCAATGAGTAAAAAAAAAAAAACTCAAATGTCTCACGCACGCCTCTAAGCTTCCACGTGTTAAGCCCATATATATGCGCCCGGGTGTGTAAGTTAGTCTCGATATGGCGCGGCTTTGCCCGGCCGCTACTTTACGAACGTTACGATCGTGTGCAAGTGAGCTCACTTTTGAGCTCACTTTTGCTAGCGCAAAATTTAGGACAAGAGACATTTTAAGGGCTAGGCTGAGAATTGGGACGGCCTTAAATGTCTGGGTGGTGGTGTTGTTGTTGTTCCCTTGTGCCTCATGGGAGATGCGTAATATTTGTGGCTCCATAATGCGAACTGCCGCTCTTTACCCTTTACTTGTTATTTAAGTAAATATACCGTCTAACTTTGAATGTTTCAGTGCAGAGAAGGAGTGGGGAGATGGCATCAGAGGGCTGTCGTTGAGTGCAGCTCGCTACGCCCTCTTGAGGCTGGAGGAGGGACCACCACACACAAAGAACTGGAGGTAACTTCTACACGCACACACACTTACCTCCAAAACTAAACTAAGTATTGCAACAAGTATCAGAAATAAAAAATAAAAACGTTTTTTTATTATTGTTTACGATGTGAAATATACTAATGAACAAAACCTGTAAAAAAAAGCTGATCGTAAAACACGGAACACGGAGCAACCTATTTGAAGGCATACATTTATAATGGAAATTAGTTAATTGAAATTGAAATGGAAATTAAGATTGGGGTGACAGTGGCTCAGTTGGTAGAGCATTGGCCTTTGGGCCTGAAGGGTTCAAGCCCACCGTGAGACCTACTTCACGACTCCCACTGACGACTGCTGTCGATTTGTCCTTGGGCAAGACACTTAGCCCCACATTGCCCGAAGCCCCCGCTGAAAGATCAAGGCTCCTGTGGACTCACCACATGCAGGAGGATCAATGAGGTGCTGGTGCTATGTGTACTGGGTGCAGCTCTGACTGCAACCCCCCGACACAGAAATGGATTCAGGGGAAGAAAAAAAAATGGGTGGGTGGATGGAAATTAAGATTAATTCCATGGATTATTTATTAATTTCATAATTGTTTTTTAACCTTATCAGGACCAAAGGTTGTATTACTCTTACAGAGCTTTAATTATGACAGAATAACATGATTTTTTTTTTTTTTTTATAGAACATTTCTAATCACACAATCAATTCTGTTACGTCTAATCTATATGAAGATATTCTTGAGTGGTATCGCTTTAGCTTTGTTTTGGTCATATTGATGAAAAAATCCTGTATTTCAACAGATAAAAAAAATAAAAAATAGCCGAAAGAATAATCTGGCCATGGTCTGGTATAGGGATGTCCGATATTTCTTGGTTTTTTTACTGATCGGGGATCGGCTAATCTGCCTGATGACTCGCCCGATCTGTACAGCATTTTTTATGAAGTAGTAATTTACGCTAACTACGCACACAAGAATTTAAAACTGTTGCGGTAGATTGGTATTCATGTGGCTACTAATTAAAACAATGTCAAAAGTGTGGCAGTTTTTCTCATTAGAAAACAAGGACGGCACAAAAGTAACATGTAAAGAATGCAACATGTTGATTGGGAGAGGTGGGAGCAGCAGAGGTCCATTCAGCACAACAAATCTGATTCTGCATTTGAGAGCTAAACATGAAACGGAGCATATGGCATAGTATTTTGTTATTGTGACTTGGATACACTACATAACAAATTCTTAGTGATGAGCAGATGAAGCCCCTTAAAGCTGCACCAACTGACTTTGAGACATTTTCGAATAAGAACAATGAGCTCTGCTTGCCCTCCCCCCCCCCCAGTTATCTGCAGTTCATCCAGAGTGATCATGGGCCTCTTGACTGCATCTCTGATCAGTCTTCTCCTTGTTTGAGATGAAAGTTTGGAGGGATGGCCGGGTCTTGGTAGATTTGCAGTGGTCTGATACTCCTTCCATTTCAATATAATTGCTTGCACAGTGCTCCTTGAGATGTTTAAAGCTTGGGAAATCTTTTTGTATCCAAATCCGGCTTTAAACTTCTCGACAACAGTATCTCTGACCTGCCTGGTGTGTTCCTTTGTCTTCATGGTTCTCTCTGCGCTTTAAACAGAACCCTGAGACTATCAAAGAGCAGGTGCATTTATACAGAGACTTGATTACACACAGGTGCATTCTATTTATCATCATCAGTCATTTAGGACAACATTGGATCATTCAAAGATCCTCACTGAACTTCTGGAGTGAGTTGCTGCACTGAAAGTAAAGGGGCCGAATAATATTGCACGCCCCACTTTTCAGTTTATTTGTTAAAAAAGTTTAAATTATCCAATAAATTTTGTTCCACTTCACGATTGTGTCCCACTTGTTGTTGATTCATGACAAAAAATTAAAATTGTATATCTTTATGTTTGAAGCCCGAAATGTGGCGAAATGTTGAAATACTTTCGCAAGGCACTGTATATCCCAATGGATTGCATGGATATGGATTGAATTTTCTTAATGAATACAAAAATAAAGTCAGTTAGTGCAGCTTTAATACACCAAGGCTTTCTTTATCAGATTGTATGAAATGTGTCAGAGGCTCTGAGCTTATACTAGGGTGCAACTAACCAACTAATTATGACAATTTCTCCATTAAACATTAAAGTGATAGTCTGGAGTTTGTCAGAAAAAAGAGAGGTACTTGATTTGAAAAAAAGACCCAAGCTCCTTCCCCTTCCTTTCTGATTGATTTTGAAGCCACGCCTATTTTTCCATGCACGCGGCAGGTCAATGGGCCAAGACGTGTGGAGGAGAGATTATTAATTTAAAGATGCAGTTAGCGATTTTGTTAGCTTAGCCGTAGCACCAACTCGAAACCACTCCCCCCTCCCCTCGCCTCTCCATCAAACCAAACATCCAGCATTTTCTTTTCTTTGTCACAACAGGGAGAGTGGGTGGCAAACATTTGACAAGCATTTTCTGTTCAGCCATTTTAGGTTTTAGAAAATAATCCGATAACTCGCACACTCGCAAGAAACAGGAAGAGGGTGAAGGGGGTAAACGCATCTCATTGGTTCACTTATTACTTGCTAGCCCATGCTCAATAACACAAATATCAATAAATCAACACATTTAAATGTTAATGGGAGAATATACATATACTTTATTATTATACGTTTCTCACAGCAGCAGTAGAATGCTCCATTGATTTGAATGTAATTTAAAAACGTTCTACCGGTCATTATTTTTAATAACGGACCTCTCAAAACAATAATGACCGCTGCCCATGGCAACGCACTCTCTGCTTGTCTTTCAAATGCGTGGATAACTCTGCAAGTAGTTTCGGCCACTCCGGAGCTAGCCACGCTCAATCAACACACTTAACTGTTAATCGGAGAATACTTATACATATACATTCTTCACACAACATTTTCAGAATTTTCTGGTCTTGTCTTCATGACAAAAATACTATTTCTCTGCGTCAAAAAGTGATCGTGAAAAACCCGGAAGTAGTTCCGGCCGCTCAATAAACGCAAATGCCAATAAATCAACGCAATGAAATGTTAATCGGAGAGTAATTTATACAAATACATTATTAATACAAGTGCACGGAAGTTTTCAGAATTTTCTGGTCTTGTCTTCATGACAAAAATACTATTTCTCTGCGTCAAAAAGTGATCGTGAAAAACCCGGAAGTAGTTCCGGCCGCTCAATAAACGCAAATGCCAATAAATCAACGCAATGAAATGTTAATCGGAGAGTACATTATACAAATACATTATTAATACAAGTGCACGGAAGTTTTCAGAATTTTCCGTTTCCGTTTACATGACAAAAACACTGATGTAATGCGAGAAAAGGCAATCCCGAAAAACCCGGAAGTAGATACAGTACCAGCACATTTTAGGACACATTTGCAGAGGATCACATTATGCGCGTCGGGGTCCGCTTCGCCCTGTCGGTACTTATTTCCCGCTAATGCATATCTCTCCGGATGCATCGCTTCCCGCCCTGAGAAGATCAAACGATTCTCCCTCCAATCACCTTCACGTCCTAGCGTAGGTCTGTCCTCTATAAATAGGGCCATGCACCACAGCTCTTCTCCTTTCTCTCTCAGCTTGCCTAAGAGAAGCTTTGATTCATTGGAACAAGGATATGTCTTCAAGCAAGTTCGCCGCGCCTGAAGATCTGTCACCCTCCGGTGTCAGGCTGCGGATCTGCGACTTGTGCCCAGCGGCACTCTCCCAGACTGACCGCCACAAGTCCTGCGTCTTCTGCCTGGGCTGGCGTCATGCCGCGGAGCAAAGCTCCAGCTGTGTGGCTTGCCTCGCGCTCTCCAGGGTGTGATAGACGCAGCGGGTTACTCAACGCCGCTTGGAGTGATACCCATGGTGGCCTCGCTCATGGTGTGCCACCCTCCGCCCACACTGCTGCTTCGCCTGGCTCAGCGGAGATGTCAGGCTCTGGATCTGGACCAGGGTCCGACTACGATGAGGGGGAGTTGGTGAAGCCCTGCGAGGAGGATGCCCAGTCCTCCCACTCCCAGGACGTGGGGAAACCCGAGCGCTATCCCCTGGATCGTTTCCCGCATCAGGATGCGTATGGCGATGCCGGTCCAGCCCGCCTCCGGTGGACTATTTTACAGTCCCTCGCTCCCTCCCCCCGGCGACGCAGACATGAGGTGGTCGCTCCCAGGATGAAACCGCTGCTGCATTATGCCAGCCGTGAGTGGGATAGACCAGTGTTTTTCAACCACTGTGCCGCGGCACACTAGTGTGCCGTATGATATTGTCTGGTGTGCCGTGAGAAATTCGTCTACTTTGTCTAAAAATAACTGCATTCGCTGTTGACGAGCGGTGACTTGTTTTGAACTGTGGAGTAACCATGTAATACTTTTTCAAATCAGTAGATGGCAGCAGATAGCTAAGAACTTTGAAACTGAAAAATTGGATGCGACCACTGGCTGTAACAGGTCAGCATTGTGGCGAGAAAGGTAAAATTGGATGCGACCAACAAATGTGGGAGGGAGCGAGACAAGAGCTTTGTGGCGAGTGAGAAGTGAAAGTGATAGAGACGTTTTTGAAAATGAATTATGCCGTTTCTGAACAGGATTAACATCCTCCGCTCTGCCCCGGGGCAGCTGTGGCCGCGTTGTAGTGGTTTAACTATGAAATGTACAATTTTTGTACAACAGCTCTCGCGAACGCACTTCTGAACTGGGTACCGAGCGCAGACCATAGTCGAGTGGACAGAACCACAGACATGCGGACCGGACAGAACCATGGACTCGCGTTCAGGACCTCCCGTGTCCCTCATCCAAAACTCCTGAATTTAAAGCTCGGATACCTAAATTTTTCCCATGCACTAACAATGCATGTTCTTTGTGTGAGTTATTATTTGACTATTTGGGCAGAGAGTGGATTTTCTTAGTTTTTTTCCACACAGTTAGTGCCACTCTATTCCCAAACTCTTGTTAATTGTATCGAGAAATATTAAATAAAGCTTAATGTCAAGGCCTGGA